AGCAGAAACTCATTAGGATTGGCTACATTAGGGGTGTGTGGCCTAACATGCAAAGGAGTTCCTGCTACAAAAAAAGGCCCTGGGTTTTGACAACAAACAAGGTAAACAGAATAAGAAGGGAAAGGTGGGTGTGGCTGGATGACCACACTTCTGGTAACATGTGGGTGCGGCCTAATATGCTAATGAGTGTTGCTGTCAGGGGGTGTGGCCTAATATGCTAATGTGTTTCTGCTGCTGGGTGTGGCCTATTATGCTAATAAGTTCCTGCTGGACTTTTTCTACCAAAAAAGCCCTGAGGGTGCCAGTTCCCATCTCCTGCTGCAGACTCCCAGTTTGCCCCACGCACTGCTCCTTTGGGCCTACGGGAGCACAAGTTCATCATTATGCAGTGTTGGGTTGCCAACTGCCAGGTGGTAGCTGGAGACCTCCTGGGATTCCAATGGATCTCCAGATGACAAAGATCAGTTCCCCAGGAAAAAATGGCTGCTTTGGAGGGTGGGCTCTATGGCGTTGTTCCCTGCTGAGGCCCCTCCCCTCCCCAAACCCCGCCCTCCATAAGCTCCACCCCCAACTCTCCAGGAACTTCCCAACATGGAGCTGGCAACCCTAATGTAGGCTCCGGTCACACGGGCCGGAAAATGCAGGGAGGAAGCGTAGCTGTTTGCCCCAGAGCAAAATAACATGCGGCTGCACCATCAGACGTCCCGTTGAGGTCCCATCGAGGTCCTGTGGTTAGGGGGGAGGTGTGGCAAAGAAGCGGCCTCTCTAGCAAAAGGCTCCACGGGTTTAACCCCTTCCAGGGCTGCAGAGGAATGCAAACTGTGTCCTCCGTCCAGTCCCCTCCAGGAGGAGCTTCAGCCAGACCACCCTCCTGCCACGCCCCCCCTGCACCTCCCCCTCTGCCGCCCGGTGCAGAGAGTTCGTTTGAGCAGGCCGAGCCAGGAGTGGGGGGGGGTACGGCACGGCAAACGGGGTTGTGGTTTTTGTTTTTAAACAAAGTGTGCACATGCGCCGTTGGGTGCTTGTTCGCATCCCGTGGAGACTTGGAAAATAACACTTTTTGCGAGGGACATGGGCGGGCGCTGGATGCCACGGACTACCACCGGAAACACGATCAGATGCTCGCCCTTGCCCCACGGTTTCCGGAAACTAGTACCTTGGAGGTACTAGTTTTTTACGCCGCATCTTCGGCGGGAAGCCTCAGGTGAGCCACGGGAGCTCTATGCTTCCCAGATGTTGCGGTGTGATCGCGCCCGGAAAATCCGCCTATCTTCCGTCTCTGTACCGTGGCTAATGCTCCGTGTGACCGCAGCCGTAGAGAGGGGAGGCAGGGAAGCTGCCTTTCTCTAACCCCACTCCAAGCCATCCTCTTTACGCCTCGAAGATGTTCAAGTGTACCTTTGAGAATGCCAGGCATTAAATAACAAGCAGGGACAAATTGGCATTTGCAAACTGGCGTCCTCGTAGACATCCACTAATTACAAAACTGGCCAGATTGGATGTCACTCCCAGTCGAGTGGACTTTTCAGGGCACGCCCAGGCTTGCTGCTCTGCAGAGTATGAAATTTGACTTCTGCCAATTAAATGTAAATTGAGCTTTCCCACAGGCACCTTCAAGTACGCGATTCAGTTCAGTGCACGGGCAAGTCCCTCTGCTTTCACTGGGGCTGACGAGCATGTGTCCGTTGCAGCCCGAGAGATTTCTTGATCGGCTTCTCTCCACACAGGGATGCAGAACCCTCACTGTAGTAGACAAACATTCGCTAACGATGAATTGCTTTTTGTAGTGTGAATTAAGTCTCACTTGACACAGCACCCAATTGTTGTCTGTTATTGTGAGGAGCCAGAGGTGTGCCCGGCTATCAGCAAATCAAGGCAGACTGTTTGTCCCCAGATGTATTGGGATATTTGGTTAACAGAGCTTGGCCCAGCTATAGAACTGTGATCTTGAGTGCAGTAATTAAATCTCCCAAGAAGTGTCTTGCAAAAAAGGTAAACTTAGAGCCAGTTTGGTGTAGTAGTTAGGAGCGCAGACTCTAATCTGGGAGAACCGGGTTTGATACCCCACTCCTCCACATGTAGCTGCTGGTGTGACCTTGGGTCAGTCATAAGTTCTCTAAGAGCTGTTCTCTCAAGGACAGTTCTGATATGAGCACTCTCAGCCCCACCTACCTCACAGCAGGGTGTCCGTCGTGGGGAAGGGAAGAGAAAGGAGATTGTAAGCCGCTCTGAGACTCCTTTGGGTAGTGAAGGGCGGGGTATAAATCCAATCTCCTCCTCCTCCTCCTCCTCCTCCTCTCTACATGAGGGACCTGCAAAGACATGTGTCTCCGCGGAAAGCCATGTGAGGAGAATGAGAGGACCAAGGGAGAGAGGACCAAGGGGTCAGAGGGCAGCTCCCAGGTTAAGAGAAAGAGAAAGAGCAGCATCCCATTCAAAGAGATGACACCTATGCACACTTAGAGGGATGTAACGCCCCCCAATGTCCCGGCATGCTGAGTCGCTCACTTGGTTTCTTTCCTCTTCCAGATTTCTACCTCAGGATCTTTGGGTCCCCTCCCTGTCACGCCTGTCCACAGCACCATGCACGGGGCAGGTAAGTTTTCCTCCTGCCTTTCCCCTCCCATTAACATCTAAGCCAACACCTGGAAGCATGTATTTTAAAGCAACCTGAGATCTTTTTTGCACTTTGTACGGTCTAACATAAGGAAATCTGGAGTTTCGGGGGGCGGGCCTGTCGTTCCCCCAAACTGGGCTTGGAATAAAATCTTGCTATTCTTTAAGGAGCCTGGACACAGATGGCCCAGGCCTGCCGGATCTCATCAGATCTCAAAATCTAAGCAGGGCGGCCCTGGTGAGCACTTGGACAGGAGACCACCAAGGAGGTCAAGGGTTGCTATGCAAAGGGAGGCCATGCGAAACCACCTCTTGCCTTGAAAGTCCTGTGGGGTCACCATATATTGGCTGTGACAGTCTCATCAGGAGCTAAGTGGCGTTGGCCCTGGTTAGTACTTGGATGGGAGTCCACCAAGGAAGCCCAGAGTTGCCACGCAGAGGCAGGCCATGGTAAATTGTCTCTTGCCTTGAAAACACTATCAGTTTGTCATATATTACCTGCAACTTGATGGCGCTTTCCACCACCACCATTCTTTAAGGTGCTACGAGATTCCTTTTTGGTTTTGCTGCAGCAGACAAACATGGCCACCACTGAGCAGTTATTACTTCCCTCTAAGCTGTGGAGTCTTGTGAGCAAAATTTCCACTTTGTGAGCTACTGGCACTAAAGTTGTGAGTGAGCAATTTGACTACTGCATAAATTCATTTGCTCTGGGAGCCCTCCTTCCTGAGCTAAGACAAAAATGTGTGAGCTGGAGGCTAAAAAACCATGAGCTAGCTCACACTAACTCAGCTTAGAGGGAACACTGGACACCAGGGGTCATTTCATAGAAAAAGAGGTGCAGGAGCTCACACCCCCTGACGTCACCGGAAGTGTGTCAGAAGGCAACACCCACCGCTCAGGCTCCACTGGACTGTTTTCTCGCAGAGGAGGGAGAGCTTGTACCTGAATAAAACTTGGTCTTAAAGGTGCCACTGGACTGTTTTGGACCGGGGAGCTGGGGGAGGGCCCTCTGCAACTTACCTGGCTGCTTCTTGCTCTGACTGAGGGCTGCTGGGAGCAGGGGGTGGGGCTTGTTGCCTGTGCCCGCCCCCTGGGCTCTTTACTGCCGGAGCTCCGCTCCTGTGCGCTCCTGCAGGAAATGACCCCTGTATGACACCCATGTCACAGCAGGTGCTCCATTTTAAGATGGTTCATCTGCAGGTACAGGCTTCCTGCCACATGCAGTACCATCTTTATCTCTTCCTGTTTCGGAGGGTGGACTCTATGACATTATACCCTCTTAAGTCCCGTCCCCCCCAACTCCACACCCAAATCTCCTGGAATTTCCGAACCTGAACTTGGCAACCCTACCACGAAGCAGTTCAAGCAAAGCACTAGGAAGGGAGGGTGGGGGCAGCAAATGGCCCAGGGAAGAGATTTTTAGAAAGGCATCCTACGAGGGGAAGACTGGCTAGCGTAGAGGAGGAGGTGCACGTGGCCAGGAGGCAGAGATGTGAAGAACTCTGAAGCTCAGGTTGACTTTGCAATAATCTGCTGCTGCCACACATAAACTGCAAGCCTGAGCTCACAGGAGGGCTAGGCAGGGTGCCTGTCTGCCGTTGGCTAAGCTGCTTGGATGCAGAAAGGCAGGGGTCATTTCGTAGGAAAAGAGGTGCAGGAGCTCATTAGCGTAACTCATTAACATAACTTATTTGCATATGCCACACACCCTGACATCACCGGAAGTGTGTCAGAAGGCAACACCCACTGCGACTTACCTGGCTGCTTCTTGCTCCTTGTGGCCCAGGGCTGCTGGGAGCAGAGGGCGGGGCTTCTGGCATGTGCCCCACCCCTCGGCTCTT